ACGGCGATGATTTCGAAGTGAATGTGCGGATCCTAGCGCAGGAATCAAAAACATCAACGCGCAAAACTCTTGAGGCGCTTTGGATAAATTTCAAAAATCCAAAGATGAACCGGAAGGACGAATGCCTCACTATCACGCGTGACCTGGCGCCCTATTTCAAAATGATATTTTGACCCCGGGGCGTGTCTTGCTCGCGACTCCACGTGAACTACGTGTGGGCCAGTCCCGCACGTAACATCACGGTGAGTGGCCTTTCTGTTCAATATGGCGTCTATTTGAAAGTTTGATCTTCATTAATACTTTAACCTTCTTTTCCACCGAATAATAAAAAGTATTCTAACATGAAGGACGTCCAGGCTCTGGGGAAGGCGAAGTCGCCGGAACGTCAGCCATTGATCAATAACATCAAAAACAACGACAACGACAACGAAGATCTGTACCAACCTCGCGTCAGCTTAAGAAGATCAGTTTATAAGATCACATAAATAAATATAACACCATGCTCGTGATAACGGACATCACTCCTACTGCGCTATCTGTCCATTGGTACACAATTACAGTTCCGATAATTAATGATTGGTAATATAGTTCCACGGGCTGGCGGCGCAGGATGAGTGGTGGTTCGTCATAAGCATGGTGCTATTCCGATCTCTACCAGGGATCATCAGGTCTTCCTCCTATAGGGCCGGAAATTTGGTACTAGACTTGCCTAGGGCTAGTTTACTCTCTCCGGTCCACATGGAAACGCTCTGGCACGGCTATTCTAGTACTCCAGGGAGGATTAACTCCACCAGCATTCTGCGACATTCATGAAGAAGACGAAAAAATCCTCAGGCAGCTGCTAAACACACATGCGGAAAGTTCAAAGACATTCACCGACGGTGCAAGAAAACGGATGGAATGCAAGAACTGCTGGCATCCGTACAGTAGATGTGAAAACGAATGTGTGAAATAGAGTAGAGTAGAGTAATAAAAAAGATAAAAGTATAAAAATGAAAGTAGAATAAAAGTAGATGCGCAAAGTAAAAAAAAATTAAGAAATAACCACAATGATGCTGAGATACTTACGAAATCCAGAGCCCAAGCCAGATTCGAATCTGCGATTACCCTTTCCGGGAGCACACGTGTTGTTACCCACTGCACCACTACGGCTCTTGCTTTACTTTTTTTTCACCCAGTTTTTTCTTCCTAACGGTTTTATTATACATACTCTTCCACGAGAAAAATAATGGGCAGTAAACAAAAAGTTGCGCATGTAGCACAATGGTTAGACGTGCTCGGTCTGCTCTCATCTCAGGCCCCAGGCTCACTAAGCCCTTCATCTCTCCAGGGTCGGCAAATTGAAACCAAGGTAGTCCACGACAGCATTGACGCGACTAATCGATAGGCTACCGTGAGTCAAGTCATTGTATAGGCAAGATATGCGTTCAACCACCTCTACGATGCTGCGAATGGAGTCGAATATATGGCGAATCCCTCAGTGACTGATCAGCGCCAAGAGCTCTATCCCTTTTTATCATTTAAATAAAAAGTTATGCATTTAAAAAAGTATTTCTGACCTTTGCCGTCAGCATCAAATCGTTCTTTATGCGCTCCGGTGTATTTGGTGTGATCGGTCAGGCGCTGGTATACGCCGTTTGCGTCCGCTTTCGCCGCACTGTTTAGAGTCGGCGCATCCAATCGTGCTAGCTTTTCCGTAATTGCGTCCAATTCCTCCTGAAATGGCGACTACACTCTACATAAAGTGTTCTTTATAAGAAAGGAAAAAGACACATACATAAATATAGATGTAAAGTACGATGACGTTTAGTCCCGTTGACGGGTGATTGCTGATGGCGCCGATCATAGAACTAGCTGAGAGAAAGGCAAAACAAAGGACCCGCATGGTGCGGTGGTGAACTCCCCGGAAAGGACAATAGCGCGTTCGTTCCCCACCTTAGATGCCTGTGGTCCAGAGTTTTGCAAATATCTCAGCTTCATCTTAGTTGTATTTCACATGATACCCTGCCGTTAAAAATTATAGTAGGCAGTAAATATAAAAAAAAAGATTAAAATCTAAGATACTATTAAACTACCAATGTATTTTTAGGGTGTCCTAACTATAATTACTTGATACTTGAACGGCTCGTCATCACTAGTTGTGCGGCCCTCAGCAAAATCACCATTTTTCGGAGACTTGCTGGTTAAGCCATTGTGGTTCCCTGGAATTCCGAGGTCAGCCTGGCCAAAGTCTTCCCCAGGTTTTCACCACCACAAGCAATCGCAGCCCTTGTGGACCAGTGGGAAGTTTGCCACCATCCGACTTCGATACCAGCACGGTGGTGGATCCCGGTGTTGGTTTACTCTTAGCTAGGCTTCCCGATGGAAACGCCGGACTCCTCAGCTTGGAAGACCCTGCCAGGCGATGAATCCCCGCTGTACGTCGCAGTCCGACATCCAGGAACACCTGTCAGCCACGACGAGGCGGTAAACCGTTCGAAGGGTCTTAACTATAATTCACACAATTCCATTACATTGTAGTGAGTTGAATATTGTCAAGCATCCCATGTTTCCCTTCAGAAAGGGACCTATGAAGTGTTACATACGTATAGCGTACTCAGAATTAACTTCTGAAATGTCAAACGGTTAAGCATTAAATCGTTAAAAAGTTACTGAATTAAGCAACATCACGGAAGGAAAGAGGAACAAGAACACATGTCCTGAACAGCGTTCAAGAGGAAAGAAAATGAAAGTGAATAGGTGGTAGAATATAAAAAAAGATGATTAACGCTCAAGAATGTTGTAATAACACCGTAACTCATAAATTACTCATCCATATTCAGTGAGGGATGAAAATGAGGAACAGTTACTGTGGCTCGGATAAGGATACCTTGGATTAATTTGTTCTAAACATAAGAGTTACAGCTTAAATAGATTAAGAAAGATTATAAAAAATCACGAATCCAGATATTAGCAAATTAATACGAGCTCAATGACATGAATGGTTCATTTGATGCACTCTCCAGCTGTGGTGATTACTCCAACCGGCTACGTTAAAATGAAGAAGTGGGAAGAACAGAAGGCAAAAAAAACAAAAATATAAGAAGAAAAAGATAGTGAAGAAGGACAGACAGACCCACTACGAACAGTAAACGTTATAGGAAAGTGGAATAGTAAGAAGCAATGTACACAGTGCCTTGTATTGATCCATCCTCTAGAGATAAACTATGCATTCGAACCCATTCGTAATATCTCAGAGCTAGATGAATGTATATTTGGAAAAAAACAATGAATTGCGGCAGTCGACTGATTACAAGCCACTGTTTTTTTCACCTTTCAGACAACTCTAGTGTCAATTTGCCTACGACGCAGAATCCAACCAATGACCATATAGGTATTACATGTCGCGTCTAACCAATACGCCACACGTTACATGTTGGGAACGAGATATTATAATATGGGAACCATTCAGCAGAATGCTAGAATAAGCAATGGACTTCATTCTCTATAAATTCCATCGCACTCACCAAGTTTTCCAAGCACTCTTCATTTATTGCTCCTTGTGCTTCTGGCTCAAGACAATCAAAAGGCTAAAGGTGGAAAAGTAGTTCAGCACGAAGAATCAAAGTGGTCTCGAAGGAAGGACTTTTCTCGAGTGGATATCTTTGCCGTAATTAATACCACATTTCTTGCTTCATCCAGTAAAAATGAAATAGTCAGATTTGACGATCGGAACAGGAAAACCTACGAGTTTATAATTTTAATCAAACACGAATACACAAGAACTTCTAAATATAAGGGAATTGTAATCGAACTATGTAAATGTGAAGGCCACAATAGTTAGCTCTTCTCTAGATGTCCACAAGATCAGAAAAATCCCATGTTTTCAGTTCGGTTTAATGGTTTTCAGAATGATTCTGATTTCAGTGCACATTGCAGTGTTTTTCCCCTTCATACACATCAATGAAGGATGGTATTTTGCTCGAAACTATCGATTTTATTGATTGGCACAGACCTGAACCGTCTTCTTGCTCTGCCGCGCACGATCTTCAGCCACTCCTACGATGACTTTTTTCGTCTCTTCAAAATTCGTTTTCTTCTTTGCTCTTAAAACTTAAGGTTTAAAAAAAATAAAAGAAAATCATATAACTTGAGCATAAGCTTAAGACCCTACTAAAACATACTTAACCTTATTCGACCTGGATTCTGGAATGCTTTTTTATTTTTTGTATGGCCCGTCTTCACGCCCACTGTGCGGATCCTCTCACATCCGATTCGTTTCGTTGCAACCATTGTCCACGAAGGCCTTCCAACTTTTACGTCTGGTTTCGGCTGCTGTTTGAGGATTTTCATTTCATCTTGAATATCGTGGTATGTTGGTCGAGTCGATTGTCCCTGGAGTCCTGAGATAGCCGAGCTGGAGCGTTCCCAATTGGAAAGCAGAGAGTGATTTTTTCTAGGACAAGTCCGGTACCAATTTTCCGACCCCGGAAGGATGAGAGGCTTGATTGGACCGGAGAGGAATCGCTAGCACTGTGCTCGCCGTGGCCGACATCACTACCACTGTGCTATCCCCCACTGATTCTGAAATGTAAGTAACTAAAATCGATGTAAAAACAACCACTGCACGAAAAAAGTAGGTATATAAGAAATTTGAGATAAATTATTCCCTAATTGGGAAGCGGATGGTACAGTGGTAGTGATGCCGATCATCTCGAGCACGGTGGTGCTTCGATCCCTCTCCATGCTCACTAAGCCTGTCATCTACCCAGGATCAGGAGAACAGGAATTGGGCTTATCTCGGAAAAAATCACTCTCTGCAATCCAATTGGGAACGTTCCAACCTGGCTATCTCAGGACTCCAGGGAGAATTATTCGACCAGCATTCTATGACATTCAAGATGAAATGAAAATCCTCAGTAGCCGAAGCCACAAGTAAAAGTTCGAGGACTTTTATGATGAATGCGATAACGAATCGAATGTGAGAAGTGCTGGGATCAGCACAGCAGATGTGAAGACGAGTCGTACAACATAAAGAATTTCTGTATTTTATCATTGACGACCTAAACACTTCGATTTGTTAAATGGGTATTAAAAAGGAAAAAGATGAAAAACAGACGATGAAAGAAAAAAAGAACGAAGAGAAAGTACCGACATAGAATGGGTCAAATCGATAATAAAAATCTAGAAGAACCATACCCCGCCACTTTACTGAATGCGATTCCAGTCATTGTGGTGGTGATGTTCTTCGAATCCAGGACACCGGCATCTTTCAGCCACTTATCGAAATTCTTGCCGGTCATCTCGGTGGCCGACGCCGAACCGAACTTCGTGAACGCTTCCCATCTGAAGAAACGTTTCCTTATGTTAACGGCGAATAGTAAATATGGCTAGTGATCGGCAACTGTTGGATCGGCATTTCCACAAATGTACCAGGATTTCCTAAGCAACCTCTTAGTGCTTTCATTTTTGAAATGAGAAACCAGCTTTAATTCAACACCGAAGGAATGAGTGTAAAATTTGTCTGTGAGCGAAACCAAAAAATGGGATATTTTTTCTACCTTTTTTATAAGAAGAATAAAACATGAATAGTTAAAACCGTGGTAACGATCCTGACTTATCGTTATGACTTATCGTAATAACTCTTCAGTTTTACGCTAATAATCACCCTGTCACAAATGACGTCTTGGTTCCCCGTTCCACCCCGCGTCCCCACAACTCCAATCTCTTCGCGGTCGACAAACTGATACCAAACTGGCCTGGGAGGATGGAAATACTGATTTGCTACATCGGTAGGCCGCTGTAAGTAATTGCATAGGCTAGACATGCATTCAGCAAGTTATATGATGTTACGAATGGAGTGGAATGCATAGCAGACCTATGGGATTCATCAGTGCCGAACGCTTTACGTCTGTCGTTTATTCAAATATTCTAAAAGCTCTAAATTAAAAGGAGCAAGGTGTTGTAGTGCCACTTTGTAGCAGCACTATGGATGGGTACTTCTAGGTGGTTGGCCGGACTTAGTCGCGAAACAGTCCAGATGACTATACCCGTAAAAATATAGTACGAATATAAAATGGACATTTGAGGAGAACCAGTAATTGCATCCTTGGGAAGGACTGAATCCACAAGAACGAAAAAAGAATACCACAAGCAAATCGTATTCTTTCAAATACAACGTTTTCTTGTACTTTCGAAATATGAATTTCAAATTTAAGCTCGAATGCCATGGTACTTCATAAATCAGTAGATTTTTCGATGTAAACAAAAAGCACTTCTTCTGCTTTCAGTAATTTTCTTTCTACTCTGGAATTCGATCCTCCGAATTTGGAGTACAGTTGGAACAAGGATTTCCGCGCGCTTGCCTGAAGAATTAGCCTCCACATCCTCATCAACGCTCTCAAAAGCCATTAATTATTCACGACACGCATCACATACACAATGCACTCACACTAGCATCCTCATTTATTCAATCGATAACCGCAGGGGACAGGAAAACTGGTCCATTTTGGCCCGGGTTTGAACGGAGGCGGAGTTTCTCAAGCGACAATTAATGATTTAATGAAAATAAAGTCTCCCAAAATTAGCCATATTCGTTTAAAATTCGATTTAATATCTGAAATTAATGAAGATTTAATAAAAGTGCAAATAGCTGCGTCAAAAGAAAAACATTTGGTTAAATGAATGGTCACTTATAAGGCCATTTCTTAAAACGGGACATTCGTGGACATTAAATTCTATTTAGAAACAATGTAGAGGGAATAAAACATTCTTGCGGGGATGTCGAGAGTTTCCCTTTCTTTATCACTGCTCTCACAAAAAGTCTACTGTTGAAAAAATTCGGTTTAAAAAATTTTTTCGTCTGAGCTCTTGCTTCGTGAAAAACATTCACGCGAAGCCTTACGTAAAATGCAGACATATTTCTCTTTCTTCGTCTTCAAACATATTTTATTTGTAAGTGGTTTATTTTTGCTCCTTCTTCTCTTCTCTAACTTCGATATTACTAGTACAACATAAGAATATTAAGAACTCTCAAAGGATGAAGTCTTTTTTCGAGGAGTCCAGCCTTTTTTTGCGTTAAATATCTTCCGTACCTTTTTGCGCCATTTTTGAGGCTTCTTGTTCAAAATTCGGTACTGTATGGAACCACTGAACATTTTTCGCCCAATTCAATTAAAAAATAAAGATAAATCACCAAATAAGCACTCGAATTCAAATTATATTAGATTCATACATAACAAATGAATACAGTGCGGTGTGCACTGAAGAAGACCTGGTCTCGGCACGATAACAAAGACGCCACCACGAGATAACGAACAACTGTGGACCATCGATATTGGACCATAGACAAGGATCATCGGCTCTGATGAAGACGAAGACGTCGAAGCGTTAGTCCAAATAAACCTATTTATCAACATCGTGTAGAGCTCAACAATTTAAATACGTGTTAAATGCAGAACATTTAGATTGTCACACATCACAGAATTATTATAGATCAAATCATATTTAGATCCATAAATAATAGATGAACAAAGTAGTGCGGAAATTGAATAGAGACACACGCACATACATAATAACACAGAAAATATTTCGGAATAGGATATTAAAAAAAGCTGTCGGCATTGATGCGCCATGCATTGGACTTCATTAAGCATCGCTGGAGGTGATTGAACTCATATCTGACCTTTACAATGACTTGCGGTGGCCTACCGATGCACCGAGTCAGTGCTGCTATCCGCCCAAACAAGTCTGGTGCAAATTTGCCGACCCCGGAGGGATGTAAGGCTTGGTGGGCCACGAGCGCGGGGATCGATTCTACGTGTGTGTGTCGCATTGGTGCCTCCAACCTCCGCGCCACACGCGCCCTTCAGAATAGGATATACAGTTATAAAATATAAAGACACAGAAATAGCTGGGAGACAGGCGAAACGTAAGACCCGCATGGTGTGGTGGTGGTGAATGTGTTAGTCTCCGAAAAGGATAATAGCGCGTTCGTTCCCCACTGCGGACACCTGCGCTCCGGAGTTTTGCAAATATCTTAGGATCATTGTGGCTGTATCATATATAATACCCTGCCGTGGAAAATTGTAGTAGGCAGTAAATAAAAGGTTAACATTATAAAGACATACTTGCGTAAACTGTAGGTATAAATATAGAAAGATCAATATTTTCTTAGTTGATCGAGGTTACACGAGATTATTACTAAAATGTGCAGAAAATAAAAAAAAGGGAAAGTTTTTTCCCAAAAATACACGAAGGTTCAAAATTTCATAAAAGTTTTTTAGACAAAAATTTGAGATCTTAAATTGAAATTTAGCCTGAGTTATTGATTTTCTAATATTTTTTCAAATCACATTTCTAATTTTAATTTTGTAAAATTTTAAATTAGAAATTGTAAAAAAATTTAGACATGGAACATAAAAATGAAAATGTAAAAGCAATAAAAAATAATACAAAAATAAAAAATCTAACATAAAAACAAAAATTATGCAAATGCACGTACATTCATGTATATACATATGTATATATAAACTCGAAAAAAAATATATATATAGATATATGTACACATATGCACGTATATATACTTACTTGATACTTGAATGGCCCGTCCTCAATGGTTGTGCGGACCGCAGCACAATTTCCATTACTCGGACATTTGCTGGTTAAGCCATTATGATTTCCTGGAGTCCCGAGGTCAGGTTGGCCAAAGTCTGCCCAGGTCTTCACCACCGCAGGTAGTGGGAGCCCTTCTGGATCAAAGGGAGATTTACCACCATGCGACTTTGATACCAGGACGGTGGTGGATCCTGGTATTACTTTACTCTTAGTTAGGCTTCCTGATGGAAACGCCGGACTCGCTCTCAGCTTGGGAGACCCTGCCGGGGGATGAATCTCCCGCTGTACATCGCAGTCCGACATCCAGGAACACCTCCCAGCCACGATGAGGCGGTAAACCGTTGGGAATATATATATATACATATATATATATACATATACATATATATATATATATACGTAATATGTACAAAGCAATGAAATGAAGCGTATGCACTCTATATGGCCCATACCGACGCCACTTGTTAATAAGCGGTTATACAGTGCTTTGTCGCGTTCATTAGAATGTTATAAGCAAATTGATTCAACGAGTGTGAACTGAATCCGATTTAAGTGTTTTCTCTATCACCCCAATGATATGCCACGTGCTGACAGTGGTTCTGACACGGGAAAAGTATGGATTACGGTAGTCGAGGCGTTCATCGAAAGATACGACAAAATCGGATAGAGAAAATGTTCTCTCTTCGATGTCTTCTTAAAATTCCCACTTTCTTCATTTGCTTTTAAATACAAAGGGAAATAGAAGGGGTGGTAATGCAAAACTCAAAGAAATCTAGCTAAAATAACACCAGGGTTCATGGAATGGAGAAAACGTCGAAATAAAAAAGAAGAATATCAAGGGAAAATACTTTTTTGAGCAGGCAGCGTCATATTAACCTGTAAATACAATAATTCATTAAACTACGAAGATGATTTTTCCTTTCGAAAAAACTTGATTGAACCGCCAAACATGAAGAGTGCCCAGGAAAGAATTACTGGAAGAATGAAGCATCTCCTCTGACCACTTTTCCTCGTACTTTGAGAATATTTTCTTCCCCATTTCACTTCTCTTCCCCTCTTTTTTCCTAACATCAACGAAAGCTTTCTCTAGTTCCCTATCGATTTCCGTTGCTGTGAGATAGGGCGATCGATAACCATGTGAGTGCTCGGCTTCCCGTAGAGCAAGGAAAAAAGCAGAATACATAGTTGCCTCGTTAAAAATCCATAGGCACAAAGGGACTACTGCTTAGTTTTCTCTTGGGAAATTCCTCTTATCGATCGTTTTCAATGTTCACAATGAATGGAAGGAAAAGGCAGTTCACACTAACAAAATCGATCGAAGTGACTGATTTTAAAATATAAACGAAAAAACTACAATACAAATATACATAAATAATAAATGAAGAATATATATATATAACATAAAACATATATCCTCCCAACGATTTACCGCCTCATCGTGGCTGGGAGGTGTTCCTGGGTGTCGGACTGCGATGTACAGTGGGGGATTCATCCCCTGGCAGGGTCTCAGATGGAGGAGGAGTCCGGCGTTTCCATCAGGAAGCTCAGCTAAAAGTAAACCAGTACCAGAATCCACCACTGTCCTGGTATAAAACTAGCGGCATGGTGACAAATCTCCCTCTGATCCACAAGGACGGCGACTGCCCGTGGTGGTGAACACCTGGGGCAAACTTTGCCCAGACTGACCTCGGGATTCCAGGGAACCATAATGGCTTAACCAGCAAATATCCGAAAAATGGAGATTACGCTGGGGCCCGCACAACGAGTGAGGACGGGCCATTCAAGTATCAGGTATCAAGTAAAATAGTAAATATATATAATATATAGTGCAATAAATATAAATATAATAAAATAAATATAAAGAAAAAACTACAATTCACGGAAAAGTGAGACGCTAAAATTCGAGAAAAAAGTCCGAATTCGTTAGGTTTCATAGATTCCACTACTTCAAACATCTTCTTCATACATTCCTGGAATGTTATGCCAACACGAGGTTGGT